AAAAATCTAATAACCGAATCTGGAAAGTTGACAGACACTGATCGGACCATGCGGGGCCACAGAATGAAAAAAATGACCTAGCAGTTATTCACTCTCACCAATATTCGTATAGTGAGCACTTCAGGAAAGATCACAAGAGGTGCAGTGTCGACTTTGAAAGACTGCGACGCTCCCAGGTTGAAGGAAGTAAAGTTCGTTTCGTCAAATCAAACCCTTGCCAATTACGAACAGAGGGTTTTCAACAGATTTGGACAATCTTTTGGAGAGTCTTCTTAGATCCGAAAAAATAATGACAATGAATAAATGAAAAGAAAAATAAACCCTCCACGGAACTCTTCTTGCCATGGGAGAAAGGGAGCCGTAGCTTGGGAAAGTGGTTTAGGTTAGCTGATCGTGGCTTCATCATGGGCTATGAGAGTACACTAGGTATCATGTAGAGTGTCTGCTGGAATATCTAAGACCTAAGAGGCTATAAATCAAGGAAACGTGAATTCAATCGTGTGTTTGTGGACCAGGAAGATGTAAAATGAGTGTCTGCCATTTCTGTTTACAAGTTAAGTGACAAGCCTAGTGCTGATTCAATGATAATTAGGTATTATACCGATGTTGGAGACGACCTTGAAAAAGAAATAAAGGAGATTGTGTACTGGTGTGATTGTAAAATGTCGCGTGCTTGCTTACGCTCATGATGGATAAAGTAAGAGTAGCAAGAGTTTTTTTTTTTTTTCTCTCTCTCTCCTTTTCTTTTTCTTTTTCTTTCACTCTGCTGAACGTCGTGACAACCGTTGAGTGGTATGACGTACACACCTAAATCAAAGGGAGCATGTAGATAGCTAGATCAATCTTCCTTTCACCACATGAAGGGAAAGCAAAACTCTCCACCTGTATATTTCTTTATTTAACAAATGTTCAAATTTCCAGGGCCCGTATCCATCTCCAGGGTGCCTTCCTGGGGTCGATCGTGTTAGCTTAACAGAAGTGATGAAGGGGCGTTGGCGCGAGAGGTGACAACCAGTGTGATTTGATTGGTAGTTTGATTTTTACAGTTGAAAGTATTATTCTTTTTCCTCCAATATATACATACATACAGCTTCTGATATATAAACTATACATATCGGTATAACACAGACATATATATGTATAAATATATAGACATAATTTAGCATTAAAAGGGTGTGTTTTCTATCCAGTAGAAATAACATAAATCATATTGCAAGGAAGATTCTCCCGTCCAGGGTAAGATTTCACCTGTGACGAGACATAGAAAACGGGAAATGCAGACACAACGGGATAGCATAGCAGCTAAACATGCACACTCCTAAATGCATATAAAATTGTAAACAAAACAGTGAACAGTACAGTGTGATTGACAGCTGTTTTGCTGTGAGAGGGCAAGAAATCACCATAGTATGAAAATATGCGAGTATTCATGTCACACTTTAAGTCCATATATAGTTTTTTTATTATTATTACTGGAAATAATGGCGCCAAAACAAGTTAACGGTTGTACATGTAACTGTAGGCCTATAAATACCACAAAAAAACATATCCTTCTCATGAATTAGATCGAAAGTCACTTATAAAATATCTTCATCTTATAACGTTGTAATATGATCTTTTCCCCGGTACTCCGTGTGTAAAATCTTAAGCTAAGCATTTATTTTACTGGACGAAATACTTTAAATATGGTCACGTGATCCGCTGAAAGTATTCAGTATTAAAGTAGCAGCTTTGTGACGCCATGCACGTGTTCTGTTTCTCTTTTGCTTTCTCTGTCTTCTCTGTCTTTCTCTGTCATTTCCGTTATTATATTTTCCCGCATTCATTCTACACTCGCAGAGGTTTAAAGTAAGAAGGTAGGTAATGATATATATACATGTAAATCAAACGAGAGACACGCCAAGGACAGATCTTCCAAATAAGTCTCTCAACTTTTACAAAAATAAAGAAACAAAAAGATGATTCTACGTGACCAAACCGACACGATGGCGGCAAAACATGTACGCCATTATACAGCTAACGGATATTTTATTCTAACCTTGGCATCGGTTCTAAGATTTTCAATCATTCTTTTACAGTATTGATTATTTGCAAATGTTCAGGATTTTTAAAATGAAAATGATAACAGATGACAACTATATACATTAATAAAGACTAGTCTCGCCTTGATTATATGGCATCTGCAGTGATTCGTCAGATAAGGACACTGAACGGAAGTCATTGCCAAAGAACAGTGAACTGATATGCAAGTCGTTTAACACGTGGTTCTTTCTCGAGCTGCTCTTGTATGTCCGTTTGTTGTCGTTATTTGCTAACACCTAACCTACGATATCAACCTAGAAGTAACAAAGAAAGGGATAAAAGCCTTGAGAGGTTTTTTCAATTGTCAAAAAAGGTGGTCTGTGATTGTCTCGAAAACATTACAATTGTAAATGATTATGATAGATTGTGAGTTCTAATCTGATTGATTCGGTGTGTAAAATCTTGCTGATTTCTGCTT